TTGATGCATGGTCATGTTGAAGGTTACTGAATTTTTTGGTCAAGGACACACTTCAAGGTCAAAGAGGAATTCTCCCTTGTTGGACCATTTAGCTTCTAGTAAATGCATTTGAGATGAAAAATTTTGTTTCAATCTAAGTATGTTATGACTTTGAGGTTATCATTCAGTCATCCTTGATATTTTTGAGTTTAATTGTTTTGGATGGAGTCTTGGGATGCTTACTCCTCCATGGCTTCTGATCCCACCTGTGATGTTTTTAGAGGTCCATGTTTGCTCTGCTCCCAATTTATATTCTTTTAGTGGACTATTGAGCTTGATTACTATTTGTTATCTTCATATTTCAATGTGTTTCAATGATTTGCAAGTTACACTGCATAGCCATTGAACAATCATTTGCTGGCTACGGAGGAATGAGCACCAATTAAACGTGACTGATGATTCCATTTATTTAGACTAGGTCAATATAAAAGTTATTGATGTTACTAAATAGTCAGCAGGCTTCGATGTTTGCATTTGTTGGTATAATGCATTACATGCTAAGTTAACACCATCATTTATTAATAACTCATTGCTTGTATTTTTCCTTTACTTTGACATAAAATCTATATTCCATCAGCACAATCTATGTGCAAAACATTGATCATCTTTGATTTTCTTTTTTTTTTTTTAAAAAAAGCCCAGCAACAGAGAATATTGGACTCCCATCTCTTGGTCTTGAACAGCATAACCTGCCAAAAATGTATAAATCTCTGCAGAGAAGGCATTTTGATTTGAAGGCATGTTAAGTTCAGATCAGAGCTAATGAAACATTGATTTGGGCTCAGAGCAGAAAGTTTATTAGCCAAAGGATCATTGTTCTTAGTAAGAGGATATATGTTTATCTGCCATGTACCACCATTAAAAAGACCTACCATACATCAGGATTTGCAGTCTGGAAACCAATATTTACAGGGAAAACATTCTCTATTTAAATTATAAAATAAGATTCCGATTTGCCTTGAACTGATTCTGTTTCGAAATATTTAGAGTTCATTTTGAAGCAGTGGATTTTTTCGAAGGGAGGAACACAAGTTTTTGGTTTTGGGAAGGCAGTTTATACATGTATGTTCTTCTAAAAAAAATATATACCTTTCCCATACCTTGATTGAAACCTATTGTAGAAACAGATTTTTTAGGAAGGATATAATTTTGGGCATTATTTGGGAGAATTTTGATTAGAAGTAGTTTAAATTGAATGCTGCTGACAATTCAATCTTCATCAGAGGCAGAAGAAGAAGGTCCATAAATTTTTGTCTTTCTAGAAGTTCAACTAAGGTTTTAACTTGAAGAGAAAAAATTATTGTAAAAATGTGTTATAAAAGCAATTATGCTAAGGTCCTGTGCTATATGACTTTTAATGACTGTTTGAGTTAACTTATATCAAAGCATTAATTTAGAAAATGACGGTGCTTCAAGTAGTTTATTCATTAACAATGCCCTCTCTCACCATCGCAGTGTGACTCTGTGATAGCTAGAACATACTAAGGTATTCTGATCATATAAAGCAAACACTCCACTGCAACCCACTAAGGGACTATATATGATCAGATGCAGTTTTCGCATCAGTGTAGATTGATGTCGAGGTCACATCGACTTTTGCAAGACATCAGCTGTGTCAAAATGAAAATTATTCAAAACCATAGGGATGTACGGATGGTACACCATGGCAGTAAACTAATAATTGTCTTTATCAATTGTACCACGTCCCACATTGAAACAGAACATTGATTAACTGATAAGCAAATGATTCCTAATAAGTACTTGAGTGTTTGGAATATTGAGTATCAAGATCAGGTCCACCTTTTACAAAATTACATTTGCCAAAAAGGGGTGGTGAAGGTAGTATTAAAACACATTGAATAGTGTATATGAGTTATTTTGCAAAGGACTAGACAGACAGGTTGCATGTGTAAAGGCTGCAAATTTAAGATTATTTTTCGACTTAGCCTGGTCACACTCACTAGCAGACTACTAGTAGCAGCTGAGCTTTAAACAGTTCTTAAATAAATGTGATTTTATTTTAATTATCCCTACTGACATGCTATGCTGGTGTATTTAAGCTAACACATAAGTCCATATTAGTGCCTTCTTAAATGTTAGGGGATTACCATACAGACATGAAAGAAAAAAAATGATTTTGCGGGTTTTTTTTTTATTTTAGCTCACCTGAGCTTTTCTGATCAAAGTTTGTCCATTGTCCATCTGTATGTTTACTTTTCTGAATCACATTTTTTAGTTTAGTCTGCAGAACCGCTGATCAAGACCAATTTAAACCGAGCTTAGCACAGCATCCTTGGGTGAAGGGATTCAAAATTTTTTCAAATGAAGGGCCAGATCCTCATGATAGGGGAGATAATCAAGAAAATGTCAAAATAGGGTAGATGTATCAATAAAAATCTTTAAAAATCTTTTCTCAAAATCAGCAAGGCCATGAGTAGTGGTATGCAAGCATCCTCAACTGGTAGTCAAGATTCAGATTTATCTAAATCAAGTAGGGGAGCACAACAGAGGTTCGGAGTTTACATGGGAGTGTGTAGATTTTTTTAACAGCAGGGTCATGATAAGTCATATTTATGTGCAAGCACCCTCAGATAGTGTAATACACTAGATTGTTAAAGTCAAACCTCCTGGAGGTAAGGTGGGGCCATAACAGTATATTAAATTTTTACATGAGAATCTGTAGGGAAAAAAATTAAAACCCTCTCAAGAACAGCATGGTCATGATTAGTCATATTAATATGCAAGCATCCTCAGGTAATGCAGATTTAACTTTGTTCAAATCATTGCCTCATGGGGTAGGGTTGGGCAATTTATGAGGAACAACAGTCGGCTAAGATGACTCAGGTAAGCATTGGGGTCCATAGGCATCTTGTAACAGTTGATAATTCATTGTTGGTTGAATTAAAATCTTAGGTCACTGCTTAGTAATAGAATGCATGTTCAAGAAGTAAAAAAATAGTTAATGATAGAAGAGGGAGCCAAATAATAGGAAAGGGAAGCAGATTTTCAAGATTTACAGTGACTTTTCACAGGAACTTGCAGTACATATTACCATTCCACTTAGTAAATAATAATTTTTAAAATGATAGGGCAAATCAATTTATATGGAGAAATTGGCTCACCAAAAGACCCTTTAAGTAATGAATTTGTGAAAACATGAGATCAGAGCAGTCACTACTGAGAGATCAGTACTTGACTTCGACTTTAAATGATGTGCAGAGTTTTTATCCATGAAGCCTCTAACTATTTGTACCTTTATTAGGGTTTGATATAGGAGGGAGGCAAACATATGAAGACAATAACATGAAGTGTACTTGAGTTATCACAGTGTCATTAAATCAATCAAAGCTTTTATAGTATCTAACTCTACAACTCAGTTACTTATCAGTTTGTTTTATATGTGACAGTTTTAAATCTCCATCATAAAAGGATATATCCATAATGGATAGGTCATTGAGGGGCCAAATAAAATTAACATATTATGTTTTATATTGAACTTTATATTTCTATTGTGTGTGAACAAATTAGTGAGGTCAGAATTCAGTAGACATATGAATGTTTTATCTCAGAATGAGAAACCCAGATAATGGTATTATATTTTCTTATATTAATTTGAGAGGAGGGTATATAGATATAAGTCTTATTTTTGTATGAATTTTGGTTTTATGTGAGACACAATTTTTTTAGGTTATAGTAAATTGTTATTATTATTATTTTGAATTCAGCAAATAAATAATAAAATAAGATAAATAAGATTTTAAAAAAATCAATGACAGCTAGAGGAAAAATTGGAATTTAAGAAAAAGTCTTCTACTTTAATTTGTCTGGAAATTCTGGAAGTGATAGGTGTTCATTAATTAGAAGGTGTTGATTTTATCAATAATTAATGAGACTTAATTGTCACCTAATTAACACAAAGTGAGGCACATCTGATACTTTGACATTCATATAGCAGGAGCAAACAGTCAAATAATGAACTGATTAATTAAATTGATTAGTTTTTAGCTGTATAATTAACATTTTCACTGCATGTGACAGCATCAAAGAGAAGGCCTGTACTATATATTAAAGACAAGTTGTCTATACGGTGTGTTGTTTAAACAGAAGTACCTTTGAGCAGGAAACTTGCCTTAATGCCATAGGAAATTAAAACTGACCTAATCTGAAAGTGTGTTAATTCAGTGTATAGTTTTATTCTACCAAGGATATTGATTTTTTTTTCTGAAAGAAAAACCATTGTGTTGATTAAATCAAGTAAGTAGTATACTGGAAAAAATGAGTGTATTTATTTTTAGTAGTGTCTTGATTGGAATTAAATTTGTGCTGAAAATTATTTTGAACCCTAATGTCCCTGCTGCCCTCATTCCCAGGGAAAACAAACCCCTGAAAAAATGACAAGAGAAAACATATAAGATGGGGCAAATATAAAAGAATGTGATTGCCCCATCTTTTTTTATTTTTAAATAATTTTTGAGACTATTGTCATTGTCATCCCCTTTAGAGACATGTTGATTCTGCTTTTGTACTTCATACTAATCAACAAGTTCTGAGGCTAGTATTAATCTTATTGAAAACCGTATTCTTTTTTAAAAGTACAACATTATTCAAGTGTGCGGTACAATATAATGATGTGTTGCATTTAATGTGCATTGTCATGAAAGTAATGACAGTGTGTATTAGGGGGAAAAAAGGTGTTTCCCTTCAAGACATTTATTTATGGCAGTTACAGTGTAATGAAAGCAACAGAAAATCATTATATTTAAATGGAATTTGTTGCCGACTGCACTGAAAACATAACAGGTACTGTCACGTAAATGTGCATGGATGTTTGATTTCATCACATGTTTATTTGACTCCATTATTGAAACCATTGATTCAGGAAATAATTTGTAAAATATTGATAGAAATCAGGTTCACTGTATTGTATGATAATTTATTTGACTTTCCTTTTTTTTTTGCAGACAAGATTTTGAAGAGAACCACCAGTGGACAATGAGTGGCCCACCTGGCAGGTAATTAGTAAACTTCATTAATTAAAATAATAATAGATAGTGGTCAGTTAGGCTACTTAAAGTTTCACCTGAAGATTTATCTTTCATTATTTTTGCTGTTTACTGATGGGCCATATATGCAGGTATAAATCTTCCTGTCTGTCTGTTAGTTTTTTTGGTTCACCTGGGTTGAAGGCTCAATTTAGCTTTTCTGATCTAAAAGTGGCTGGCATCTGTCTGTCTGTTTGTCTGTCACCTGTCATGTGCTGCCAGTCTATAAACTTTTCTCATTTTCAAATTCTTCTCCTGAGAATCACTGGGCCAGTTTCAACCTAACTTGACACAAGGGGATTCAAGTTTGTTCATATGAACTGGGAAGGGCCATGTCGTTTTTCAAGAGGAGATAATTAAGAATTAGTAAAATTTAAATTGCATCTTTTAAAAACCTTCTCAGGAACCAATGGGCCAGAAAGGATGAAATTAATGTGAAAACTTTATTACATAGTGTAGATTCAAGTTTGTTCAAATTCTGACCCCTGGGTGTAGGGTTGGGCCTCTACTGCTGGAATCAAATTTAAATAATGAATAATCATGATTGAGGAATATATATAATGAAAAATCTTTTTCTCAAGAAAAGCGAAGCCATAATTATTCTTATAAATACAGAAGCATTTTCAGGTAGTTTAGATTGAAGGTAATGTTCTAATCATGACCCCCTGGTGGGGTAGGGTGGGCCACAACAGAGGATCAAAGTTATACATAGGAATTTAAAGGAAATATCTTAAATCTTAAAATCTTCTAAAGAATAGGAAAACCAAGATTAGACATTGATATGAAAGCATCTATTAAGGTAGTGTAAATTCAAGTTTGTTCAAATCTTGACCCTATGGGGATAGAGTGGGGTCACAACAGGGAATCAAAGTTATACATAGGAATATATTGGAAAAATATTTAAAAATCTTCTCCGAAGCATGATTAGTCATTTAAATATGAAGCATCCTCAGGTAGTGTAGATGCAAGTTTGTTCAAATCATCCCTCTCCCACTTGGGGGTATTGGGTGGGACCACTTAATATATATTTTTAAACTTTTCAGTACTGTACTGATATATTCACTCTTGCCAACGTGCTCAGGTGAGTGATGTGGCCCATGTGCCTCTTGTTTGTGTCAGAGTCATACTTTTACACTTTGACTAGTATCAAACCTTGTCTTGAGAGTCCACAATGGTGTTGCACCCTGAATTAGCCTGAAAGTAGGTTACCATGTCCTCGTCTTTGAATTTCATGATAATACATAGTCACATTTTTGTCTACCGGTAGATCATATCTTGCACCCCGTAATACCTAGAACCATATTTACATTTGGAAACTGCTGATCTTCGTCACCTTTTTCAGTTGTTACATGATTGGGGGTGGGGTGGGGGGAGGTTTGTACTAACCCAAAAGTAGGTCACACCCTGGATTTATTTGTGAACATTATCAAATCGTCTTGATAATCAATCTTTTTTTAAATTTGTTTTTCAGCATTCAAGATCATGATAACTTCAATGTGCAACAGAAGAAGTTGGAAAAAGAGGTGTGTTTTATGATTTTCGTAGGCAGCACAGAGATTTTTCTTTGGAAAAATATTTACTATAAGACTAAAATTGTCAAGAAAAAAATATGCAACGTGAAAGGTCCTCAAGTAATAAACTAGAATACTTAACCTAAGCTTAGTCTTAAAAACGACGGAATTAATTTAGGGGGTTTATTACTCACTGACTTGTAAGGTATGTAGAGGCAGTAAAATAAACATAAAATCTGAAGAATCAGTTTTGCAACAGTGACTCATGCAGAATTGCAACTTAATTATTTTTTAAAAATGTACGTACGTCACTTACTTGTTTTTTGAGGTGGGGATGTTTTTAGAATAGATATTAATTAATATTGATGACGAACCGTCAACCATCTTCATGCCTAGAATAAAAGGAATGTCTAATTCATTTTTGACGTCTATGAAAGGAAAATTGCTCATGATCAAACTTCAAGCAAAAAAACATATCAGATGTCACATTGAGAACTAAAGATGTAGACATACTCTCACTACTACATACAAAATTGGTTGTATTTTATCTTTCTACTTTTTAGTGTCTCTGATATTTGAGATCAAGGGGAAATTGCATTGATGTGGGTGTGACTGTTTTTCTGGCTGTCAGGTTAAACCTTGGCTATTATAAGCTTTTGAACATACAAGATAATACCTTCATATTTGAGAAAGTTAATTAAAGGTCAAAATTAGAGCTTCATGTCAGGTTAGGCAACAAGATCAAAGAAGGACTAACTCTCAGTAAGGGGGGGGGGGGGGGATGGGGGGTTGCAGCTCATATTTCCTTTTTTTTGCAAAGGAAGGTGTCAAGTTTGTCCCAAAAATATAGCATGTAAGTGTTAATATTTTTTAGAGATAACTAAGAAATTATTTTTTTGGGGTGTATTTACAATTAAAATAGTATTGATCCAAAAGTGATGAATCAAGGTCATTAGTTTAAACAGGGACCTATATACTAACGGGATAGGTAACTCTCGCAAGTCTTGCGATATCTCGTAAGTTGCGAGATTTCGTAAGTCAATTCTAATTTAATATATCTCTTTTGCTATCAAATATTTCAGAATTAAACCTTAATTTATCTATCAAAAAATTATTCAAGATTTGTTGTTAGCACTGTTTTTACTCCTTATCTTAGTATATAGTAATTACGTTTATTTAAAAATCAGTGCATGCCCCTGATCGTCCGTATTTCCGAGAATTCGCAGATTTTGGTGGTTGTTTACTTAATATCTAAATTATTTTATAATATGTGCTTTAAAATTTATTAAAAATCCATTCAGATACACAAAAAGAATAGATTACATTCATCAGAAAACAAGCTTTTTACTGGGAAAAAATGTAGTTTGAAAAACTTGCAGTGTTGTTTGTGACATTTGGGGTAAATAAACATTGGGCTGAAGGAGTTGCCTATCCCTGGTATTACTTGAAAGCTTAGGTTTAGTATTTCTTAATTTTGATATTTCCTATGTTTTCAGAGAAGGCGGATTGAAGAACAATCTAGGAAAAAGAGACAGCAGTTAGGAATATTACAACACAATCCCGACAGTCGCCCGACCTCAGGCCGCAAACATCGCAGCGAAACACAACCCCTCGTGGGATCCAAACCGTCCACCCCCACAAATCTCCATGGTAACATATCAACAGTTCTTTAATTATCATTGTTGTCTAAGCTTGGTGTGTCTATTAAGAGGAGCAGAACTTGCTAAATGTATTGTTGTCAAATAACATATTTAATGAGGTTTACAAATTTAAAATTAATTCATGCTTTGAAGTGAAATTTACCATATCTAAGATTATATTACGTGTATATTATTGAAAATCAAATGTATATAGATTTTAGAGATTTTAAAAGGAAAAATGCCCAATAATTATAAAAATTTTGAAATATACATATTTTTAATAAATATTGTAATTAATCACTAACATTATTATATATTGTTAATTATATTGTTAATTAACTGAAGTGTTGATTATATACTGACAGCAAGAACTATTAGAAAGAAAAGCAAGTTTTCTTTGAAGAGCTGTGTTGTCCAGGATGAACGCTTGTAATTATCATGTCATTTAGCACAGCGCACATGAATTTGCCATTCTTTTTCATTATCATTTTGTTTCATCTATGGTGGATAATAGAAGTCTCAAATTAAGTGTTAGTTGGGAGTTAGTATAATTCTCAAAAACAACTTGTTGTGTTGATTTTGGTTTGTTTATTCTTTAATATGCAGTTTCCCCATCTTTCACTTAATTGTTAATACTTTCAATTGATAGAAGGTAATTGTCCTTTTTCCCCTTTTTTGAAAGTTTTTATTTTGCTATTACTTCTTATGATATAGCCAAAAACAAGTCAAAAAAGAAATTATTGGAAAAGCATGAGCATGGTAAGTGAGACATTATTTTAGAGCTTGCATGAATTGGCTACTTAAATCTTTCAAGCATGAAAGCTATACTATGTATTAGGAATTTAACATGTTTCAGTCCAGTGTAGCATATATTTTGAATGGCCAAGTGATCATAGCCTAATACCCAATAAATTAATATGTGGTAAATTTGGAGATGGCAGATCTTCATCAAAATCAAAACAAGTTTGAATTGGACCCCCCCCCTTCTCCCTACCCCAACCCCTTTCTATCCAAGGTCCTTATAAATCCAGTTTCCTTTTACAATTTAATCACATTTTGCATGATCAGAGCTCACCCGTAGAAAAATTCACAAATGCCTTTTTTTTCTCAACCATGCTAACAGATAAACAAACACAAAGATATCACCTCTTCTTTTGAGGTAATGATCGAGGTAAAATATCATCTTAGAAATGATGGCATTTGACCTCCTTTGACAAAACTGAGAAAAAAAAAACTCAAAACGTGCATTGATGAAAATGCTGCAATTTTTTTTTGTCAGTCAGTCACAAACAGTTGTGCTGCAACAGATTTCTTATTCCATTATAAATATTGATTGAATTACTCCAATCAGTTGTATGGTATCAAACATTTTTAGCTCACCTGAGCCTTGGCTTAAGTGAGCTTTTCTGATTGAAATTTGTCCATTGTCTGTCGTTGTTGTAGTCATCATCATCATGAACTTTTCACAATTTCTTCTTCTCCTGTACCACTTGGAAATTTTTAACCAAACTTAGCACAGAGCATCCTTGAGTTAATTTTAGGGGATTCTGTTTGTTCAAAGGCCATGTCCTCTTTCAAGGGGAGATAAATAAGAATAGGTTAAAATTCAAAAATCTTTTTCTCAATAACCAATGAGCCAGAAAAGATGAATCTTATGTGAAAGCTTCATTACATAATGTAGATTTAAGTTTGTTCAAATCATGACCTGTGCGGGATAAGGCGGGGCCACAACAGGTGATTAAAATTTTACATAGGAATGCATAGGAAAAGTCTTTTAGATTCTTCAATTCAAGAATAGTAAAACCATGATAATTCATATTACTATAGAAGCATCCTCAGGTAGTGTGGATTCAAATTTGTTCAAATCATGACCCCCTGGGGTAGGGTGGGGCCACAATGGGGGACCAAAGTTTTACATAGGAAAACATAGAAAGAATCATTGAAAATCTTCTTAAGAACAGCAAACCCATTATAAGTCATATAAATATGGAAGTATCCTTGGGTAGTGTAGATTCAAGATTGTTCAAATCTTGACCCCCAGGGTAGGACAGGGCCAGAATGGGAGAAAAAAATTTTTACAAGGACATGTATAAGGAAAAAATCTTTAAAAATCTTTTCAAGAACAGCAAAGCCATGATTAGTCATATCAAAATGGAAGCAATTTAACTGAGATAGTGTAGATTCAATTTTTCCAGAATGGCAGGACCATGTTAGTTATACTGATGCATCCAAATATTGTGTGGATTCCCCCTTAGCCCCTTTAGGACTAAGTTTTCAATGTAGTCAAAATTTGTAAGAGAATTTTTTTTTCTAAATAATCTGATGATGATGAACAGCAGGGCCATTGTGACTTGAGTGAGCATTATGGCCCATGGGCCTTGATCTTGTTAATGTAGCCTTTGAGATTTTAATTATTTATGATATTGAAGAGTTCATGCAACATTAAACAAGACCAGATATAGCTTCAAGTTGGCAGAATAGCATCAGGCTAAGCAAAATCACATGCAGTCCCTGAATTTTGAATTTATTGGATGTCCTATTTTAAAATCAAAATTAATTTTCACACACTGTCTCATAAATTAACATGAAAATAATTCTATCTGTGAACTCTCCTTAGTAAGGGAAGCAACTTTGCATCAGTTAGGATGTATGATAATTGTCAGTTCACTAACAGCGTTGTTTATACATGCATCATGGTCCAAGTATATGCATTTATTTTAAAGACTTCTAGAACAGCTGATGCTATGTAGCTGAATCTCAGACTTTGTATCAAATTCTTAAATAAGCATGTATTTCAAATAGTATGGACTATACTCTGTCAAATATTGACTGTTGTTATTTTATTACTTATCAACCTAACCTTTTAATTTAATTTCTTCATAATAATTTTTTTTTTTAATTTAACAATGTCTTGACATTTTCATGTTTTTTTTTTAAAAAAAAAAATGAAAAAAAAACAAGTTAACAGGCTTTGAGATATATAATTACTTATATATATTTAATATGTATATATATAGCACACTCACATATGATTTATCAGCAAAGATTCAGTTCATAACAAATAATGTTAATTTTTTTTCTTTAATTCCTCTTACATGTAAGATTAGTGATCCTAATTTTGACATCTGAAATCATTATTTGAATCTTTACCAATGCCTTCATTTAAATTTTTAAAAAATCCTGTGAGACTTTTCTCACTGTAAAGAACTTTTATCTTATTTACATGTAGGCCAGGGATACAATAATCATAGTAAATATCAATTGAAAACAATCGTGATGTTTTGTGGTTCATTTATCATGTTATTTTTATTTTAGTGATTACCTTCTATTTAATACTTTCATGTCTTATTTCGTGTTTTGTAGAATACATCGGTCCTGCAGGTTTTGAGGACGAGGAGGAAATTCGAGGCCACTCGCCAAATCTCCGTCGGAACGATGGCTCGTATCCCGTCCTCAATGTTACGGAGGATAGTTATAGTGATGACCCAGATAGTGATATCCAAGACATTCCAATTATAAATCAAGGTAAACAAACCTGATAACTAATTTGTAATTGAAAATGGATGACTGTATTTTTTCTCTTGCAAAATGTTGGGAAGAATTTTTTTTTGCAAGATTAAGGTCTTTGATAATTAAGTTCTGTTAAAAAAAAAAAAAAAAGGAATGAAGAGAGAGAGATTATTTGTCATAAATTTATAGTATTACCATCACATTTATTTTTTCTAAGTTAAATATAGCTGCACATGAAGTCATTTCAGTGTATTTCATCAGAGTTTGTGTATTCAATACATGTTCTGTCACTACATGTATCATAGACATGATAGAAAACTAAATGTTAGCTTATCTTGAGAACAGGATGCAGTGAACAAATACAATCAAACCTCGTTATCTCGAACTCGATGGGACCGAAAAAAAACTGAATTAAGTTCTGTTAAGTTCTGCTATGGTTTTAGCATAACGGTGAATTAAGTCCTGCTATGGTTTTAGTAAAACAGTGAACTAATTTTTGCAATGGTTTTAGTATAATAGTGAACTATAAGGATATATAATGTAAAAAAAAAGAAAAGAAAAAAAAAATAAGAGGGGATAGTACTTTCTTTGCTAGGATTTACACACTGTCAGTTGACAAACAAGATGGCTGGGTCAATATTCACTAAAAACTGACCAGTGCAGAAAACAGCCTTTGAGCTTTGGAAAAATTGGGTGCCTGAAATGGTTTATTGAACATTGTCATTGGTGATGGGGATGGAATAACAGAAAAAGAGAGAACTAATTGCATGATGATTGTAAACCTATATATGTTAACTTCAGATTATTCCCCATGTGCTTTCTATATTATGCATGTAATTATTCAATAAGAAATGTATGTATTTATTATGTATTTTATTTGGACAGTGGAAGTATATGTGATTTATGTCATCCAAAAAAGTTATGCATGTTGATTGAGCAATTGGTTAGGAATTAGAGGTCTGCCTCCAAAATTTTCACTGTGACGTAAATTTAAGCAGAAAGAAAAATTTAAATTCTCATGATCATCTCCAAAAAATTAGGTGAGGAATCAAACAAAAAGAAGAAAGACAAAAACAAGAAAGGCAAATCGGGGGGTGGAGGGCAGTGGACAGCCCTCACTCCAAATACCTCCTCAACCTCCCTCTCAAAGAACTCCCGCTCCCGTTCCCGAACCCCCGAGATCATGATTACGGGGGCGGATGATCGTCAGCCAGAGAATGATTCTGACGTGGATGATATCCCTATGTTGGATGCAGGTAGATCCTGAACCTTCTTCCAGTGTCTTGTTGCGGGCCTGTATAGCTAACATGTCATTTTATAACACTGCTAGTTGTAGCATTAGTTTTGTTATTATTCAGTTCTGAATGATGTTAGGCATTTTAAAGGAGAAAGGGAACGTGATCTACAGAGATGAAAGCTTATTTATAAAATTATAAAGATATTTTCATGAGATTTATATATAATTTTCCTGGTTTCTTAAATCACATAATGTAGAAAATTTGAATTAATATTAGTATATAAATTGAACATACTCTTTTGTTATTTTTTAGACTTAAAATAATATTTAATTGTAAAATTTTAGTTGAGTTTAAAGTTGAAAATGACTTGAATCGCTGTGGTCACACAAACTAACACTTTTGGTGGGAGAATTTTTCATTGCTCAGAGGGATTTACTACTAACAGTACAGTTTTCTTTATTTACATGTATTTATTATCATGTCCTCAGATATAACATGTAGTTTTTGCATGCATTTAGTTGCTTATCAGTAGAAACATATGATATGCTTTTTGCAGATTTTCATAAATATAGGTATATGCGCTGTATATAGGCGACTGTTTTGGATTATGTGGTCAAATGTGTTTTCTGTGTTTGCCTGCTGTGTTGGACTTAAAAAGTGTTCAACATACTTCTTCAGTATATTGGATATTGTTTTTTTTCCCGGTTATATTTTTTCTTTCCCATTTGTGTTGTGAAAAACAAAAGTATCAATTATTAAGCCTCATGGGTAGTTCAAGTCATTGAGAAAATATATCTTTATGTATAAGTGATCTGTGTTTGTAAGTTACATGTCTTCCCTAGATTTTAATTAATTTTTTTTTTTAAATTTGTATTTCTATATTTCTTGTTTTTCCCTTCCTTTGGCAATCCATGATAATTGGCAGCTCATGTGCATGGCTGCTTATTTGTTAATTATATTATACATGAATATTAATTGTATATTAATATGTTTTTAAGTTTCTGAACAAAATTTAACTTGTAAATCAAATCTCTATCATGAAAAGTCTACTTTTTTGTATTTTCTAGTGGTTAAATGGAAAATTCTATCAATTCATTGGTTGTTGGTTCAAGTCCTAGTTATGCCTCATCATTCTGTTAAAGGCATATTCGATGACTGCTGTCTGTAACATAACTTTGTCTCCTGATAGCCGTAGCATTAGCTCAGATGGACTTATGTCCTATCATGGACTGGTGGTATTTAACTATCAGGTCAAAAGGGCATAGCTTCTTTCTTACATGTACATTCCTTTATGTAATGTGGCAGCTATCAGTCTGGAGTTTCAGTGCATTCAGTGAGGGACAGATTGATATCATTGTTTGAATACTGATTAAAGTAAAATGTTTGACCTATTTTCTGCAGGAATACACAATCCCTCCCCCCCCCCCCCCTCTTTCCTTTATAAAGAAATGCTTATTTTGTATGTGCATTTTTGGCCCATCATCATTTGTTTCTAAGTGATCATCCTTAAGTAATTAGTTGTTTGTACAACAGTAAATCATATTTGCTTCTCAGTGATCATCCAAAAGTACTGGTAAGTAATATAATGTTTGGACAAAGTAAAATAAAAGCCGAAATGCTATCTTGAAAAAGATGAAAGTAATATTATCATATTGGGAAAGGTTCATAGCTGGATATTTCTGTATTCCTGTAATATTGATTGTCATATGTGCATCATTTCTATAGCGATGTGTATCTTCTTCTTTCTTTGAAGTTCATCTTGGTTAAAGATATTTGAATAATGTAATTGAACAGTAAATGTTTGTCCTGATCAATGAAATTTGGACTCGTGTGATTAATGTCCCTGATAAGCAATTATCAATGAAAATAAACATGAGGGTATTTGTTTTTCTTGACCACATTAAACTAGACAAGGTCACAAGTTAATCACCAGACAAGTCAAAGTTTCAGTAACATTATTTCGTGTAACGTCTTCAAGAGTACATGTGTATAAGATCACAGAGTTGATTGTCTTTAGTGTTTCTGCTTGGAGAGGCACTGCCAGAGGTATATAGATCTCGACGTTTCACAAGACAACATACTGTGACATTATTCAATGAATTGGTTCAAGAAGCATTTAAACTGTTATTAAAGGTTCCTTTTTTTTCTCCTTTAATGCTCAGTGAACATCAATTTTTGGCAGAGGAGATCTTTTCACATTGATGCGCATGTTGTGACTTGTCAGTTGTGTATTTGATAACAAAATTAAAAGAGGGAAAAAGTCTCGGAAGAATAGGGCAAAGTTGTTGCAATTGATCGACGATGAGTTGATGTTTTTTTTCTTGCTTGGATAAATTGAGTTGCATTGATTCCTGCTAAATTTGCTGGAATTGATTAGCTAATTAACAGGAAGTGGCCCATTTCTGAACTCTTTCCTTCACCTGTCAAAGAAAAAATCACACTGTGAATTTTTTTTAAACCCTGTGTTTTTCGCACTGTGTTATACATGGTGACTTTCTCATAATGTGAGAATTTTAAGGCAGTAAACCCATTTGGAGTTGTGTTAAGTGAAAAGGGACAATTATGGCAGAAGCCAATTCTGTGGGTGGGCAGTATTCTCCCGATTACAAGAGCCCTTATAGGACTAATGAAGCATTTCATTATGATCCCGCTGAAGAGGAAATTCTGGCTGGTCAACTTGAAGGTAAAAATGTAAACATGTTGTGTACAATACGGGCAGTCACCTGTTGATGAAGATGAAATGCTATTGTTGTTGTTTAGGAAAACTGAAAGACCAGTTTTAGACTCAGGCTTTAGCATATGGTTAAGATAGGAATTTTCTACTAATTATTGATAACCATGCATGGTTTGTCTGGCTCTTGTAGGGATTTTGATGACTTAATTAAAACCTTGGAGTATGTATATTCTCTTTTTTTTGATATACATTGGAGCTGAGGTTCCTTCCGAGTTGTCATTTGTAGAACTTTCCAGTATTCATGCAAGTATATGATACTCATAGACATTGGTAGAATATCTGTTTTCTAGTGGATAATATCCTCACATCATGCATATGATGTTCTAATGATTAATGGCCTGGAGTTTTGGAAGATGTGATTGATACATAGAGAATTCGGTAACTTTTTGCCCCCCCCCCCCCCCCCCCCCCCCTTCCCAACCCTAAACATTTGCTTATTGTACTACTCTGGTAGTTTACATAATAAGAGTCCAATGAAAAATGTGTTTATAAGATACTGACAAGTGGATTTAGTTTTATCATGGTGACAATTTAAATTTGATTAATTTTCTATTTCAGGATTCTTTATTTTTTTCTTGCTTTTTTTTTTTTTTGATATAGATTACCTTTTTCAGTAACAGTTATAGTAATTTTTTTTTTATAATTCAAATCTTAGAAGAATTCTCTTTACATTTATTTAAATCTTCATAGCATAATAAACGGGCATTAGAATTCATTGTAGGTACTTTTTTCCTGTCATTACTTATTATCCTTGGTTTCCTTTAGATACTAACATGTTAAACATTGATCTGTTTGATTGATTTTTTTTTAATATTAAGAATTATTGATTTTTCATCTTCCACATGTGCAAAATATCTTTATTAAAATAAAGTGGGTACTGTTCATACAAAATTTCAAATTAAGGACAAAATAGTTGGATGGAAAAACTTTTTTTTTTAAATTAAATTGTCCATATATCTTAGATTCCATTCTTTAACAATAGGGTAATTTTTATTTTCAGAAAACTCGAACAAACCTAGCAAAGGCCAGAAGCCGAAAAACAAAAAAGCTGCCCCTAATAGGCCTCCGGCACCCCCCAATACGGGCGGTGATCGTTCTGGAGGGCGGTCCCCAATACCCCCAGCAGCTCAGCAGAAACAGAGACAGAAACCCAGCAGCCAACCTGTACAGGGATTCCAACAACCAGACGTGGAGGAAGACGAAGACGACGGGGTGGATGAGACTAGTGCCCCCGTAGTACCCACCAAGTCCCCCAGCAGTAAAAATCTCAAAAAAATGGCTGCCTACAACAATGATGTGAGTCTTTTGAAGTATTTTAGCAGTCACATGATGTTGTTGGTTTAGTACAACTGTTTTAGGGATCATGCATAGTATCATATTTTGCTATTCATGAGTAAATTAAAAGTCTATAGCTTGCAGTTAGGGAGGTATACAGTAGTGTTCGTCATGAAATTTTTGTTTAAAAATTTATATGTATATAGGATAAACAAATTTGTCAATCAGTACATCAGCAAGTGTTTGATTTTAATATTTTCTGAATTATTTTACAAATGCGCAATATATGTCATGAAATTTTTTGGTAATTTTGAATACTGACCAAGGTTTGATATCAATTTTTTTTCCCCAGAATGATGAGCAAGAGGAGGCAGTAGAAGGTGCCGAGGGTCGAGACTACTCACCCGAGCTCACTGAAAACCTGGACGATTTTGTGCTCAGGCCAGCCCCTCAAGGTCATGTAATGAAATGTCGGATCACACGAGACAAAAAAGGTGTGGATCGAGGAATTTATCCAACATACTTTCTCCATTTAGAGAAAGATGATGGCAAAAAGGTTGGTGGTTACCAGATAATTTTGGGTTTGTTTTTCACAAATATGGCAATAAAATTTTACTGCAACAGAATGTCTTCTATACTAGGGTAAATCCATTATTTTATAATTAAGGGTATACATATCTCTTATGTGAATTTTAATTAGAAAGGTTAGCATGATCACAAATCAATACAGCTAGTGAGCAGTGTTTTCTTCTGTATAAACTGTTGAGTTTGTATTTATAGGTACTTAAATCTCCTTTGATATCTTTCTACATGTGTATCCACTGTTTTTTTTTTTTTTAGGTATTTTTACTGGCTGGTAGAAAGAGGAAGAAGAGTAAAACATCAAACTACCTGATATCCACGGATCCTACAGATCTGTCCAGGGGAGGCGAGGCCTATGTAGGCAAACTCAGGTAATACTTACCTCCCTTATCGGAAATCGTAAAAGTTTTATAGATTGTTGAATATATAGAAAATCACTTTTAATCTGCAAGAACTAATATTTTTTTGTAATTACACAAGGCTGTCTGCTAGTGAAAATGTCATTCTAGAGTACTTTTGTGTTTTTAAAGATGATAAAAAAAATTTCCTTGTTATAAATACTACAGAACCATGCTGCTAATGTAAGGTGTCACAAAAATTTGTCAATCTGTAGCAATTGCTTTCACATAAATTTCTGTCATGAGCAAAAGAAAAAAAAATTATGCATGTTGTTATTATTGTATGAATTATTTTTTGTAATGTATCACTTTGCAGTGTCCCAATATAAGTGATTGGCCAAGATTTTAATTCCTCTTTGTATTTTTGTAGGGCCAACTTATTAGGGACCCAGTTCACTTTGTTTGACAATGGTGACAACCCAAAAAGCAATTATGAAAATGCTAGAAAAGAATTAGTTGGAATTATTTATGTAAGTATTAAATGAAGATTTTATTATTTATATTGATCAAATAATGTATCATGGATGTACAGTGAATTTAATTATTATTTACCAATTATTACCATATTACCAATATTTAAACAATGTTTATTTACATTTTAATAAAATCTTCACTTGGCTATTGAATATTTTGGTGTGTATGTTTATATGTGTGTGTGTGGTGGTGGTGGTGGGGGGGGAGGGGGGTAAGAGATTGTTATTATTCTAGAGAATTATTTAATTGCTTATTTGATATGACTATTCCTGACTCATTTTTTGCAGGAAACAAATGTCTTAGGTTTTAAAGGACCAAGAAAAATGACCATTATTATTCCTGGGATGAATTTGGATCATGAACGAGTAGACATCAAGCCAAGATCTGTAAGTTGATCATCAACCTTTTATTCATTTATTTAAAAAAAAGTTGAATTAGTTCCTTCATTTCTTGCTAAGAAAAAGAGTGAGTCTATCCTCTGTCATACGAGTCATTAGTTCCTCCCTACCGGTGAAACTATAGGAGACTAAAGGTGTCCTCCTCATCCATCTGTGTGATTCAAAGACTCCTTCTAGATGTGCCACCAATTCATTGCTCAATGCAAAAGAAAAAATAAATAAATAAATAAAAAAACAAAATACATTTATTTGATTTCAATGCAAAAATAAAAAAAATTTAAAAAAAATTTTAAAAACTTATATTTGATTTTAAAACTTAATCTGTTGTTAAATATGCAACACATGGAAGCAATATAGAGAAGAAAGAAGGGAGATAAAAGAAAACTAAATTTTTTGTTTTGCTTCTCTATAATCACTTTTTTGTAAAGTTTTGCAAATCGGATCTAGCTGGTTTTCAATGAAGCAAATAATCAAACTGGTAGTGTTATTTAGATCATACATAAATGCTGTTTGGAAATTTATTGACCAGTCAGACTGTGTCAAAATACAATAAAACACTTATAATGAAGTGCCAGGGATGGACAATTTTTCATCGTTATAAACGAAATTTGTTATATCTGTAAAGTTCACAATATCTTTGAATGATGACCACTTCGGTGTAAGGGTCAATTCATTATAAGCTTATTTACTATAAGCTTGTTTTACTTTACCACAGATGAGGTTCAGATTTGGATGAATATTGATTTGTTGTTTTGCAGGACAATGATGGCTTGATTGACAGATACAAGAGGAAAAATATGGAGAACATATTGGAACTCCACAACAAGACCCCCGTCTGGAATGATGGTATGTTGTCAGAATGAAATTAAGTCGGCTCAGTAGTGGAATACACTTATTACAACAAATCATTATCAATTGAATTGCAATTACTAGAATATTATTGATTTAAGATTTTGAAATGGAAAATATCAGTTACTGATTGACTTGTATCTGAACTTCTTATGGAACAGTTGTAGATGTGTATAGGTTACTTGTTCACTGCTAAATTTCCCTGTCCTCTTATGAACAGAATTCATCAAAGTATTAGAGTAACAACAGTGTAAATGATTTTGTATTCTTTGTTGTAGAGACTCAATCATATGTGCTAAATTTCCATGGACGAGTCACTCAGGCTTCTGTAAAGAATTTCCAAATTGTGCATGACAATGATGGTAAGAATTAGGTTGCTTAAGCCAGCAAATTTACTTAACTTTTCATTCAGCATGATTGAAATGATTTCAGGAGGAATTATTTGTGTTATGTATTTGTTAGAGTAACTGTTTCAAAATAAAAAAAAAATTTTGTATGAATATTGTATAGGAAAAAATTCAATCAGGGTTAAATTTTGATTTATATATATCCAACGGTGATTTCATAGGAGTTTTATTATGATATTTTCATATCATTAATGATTGTGGTAGTGTTCCTGAGTAAATATTTTTGAAGGGGATATAATGTAGAATTTTATTCATTAAAAAAAAAACAAATTTTATTTTGTCACAAATATTTCTACCAAGAAATAAATCAGCAAATATTTCTACCAAGAAATAAATCAGCAACTCTTTTCTTGCTTTCAGTTGAATATATTGTGATGCAGTTTGGCCGAGTGGCGGAAGACGTGTTTACCATGGATTTTAATTACCCTCTTTGTGCTGTTCAAGCTTTTGGAATAGCACTGAGTAGTTTTGACAGTAAACTAGCCTGTGAATAACCCCTACCCCCATATCTCTACCCCACCCACCATCATCTGAATCACAGCTCAATCCAATCTCATAAATTTTTTTATCTGTGCAGATAAATGTAGTGTTTCTTTGCTTCTTGTGTGAAAGTGATTAATTATGACTTGGTTATGAAATTGCACTTAAAAAAAACAATGGGTCCACATATTATATTTATCATTAGTTGTAAAATGAATTCATTTATTTAAAGATTAAAATTTTACATGGCAGGAATACATTAGAAAGTTTTATTATTATTCTGGCTCGGAAATCTGCATGCACATTTTACTGTGTTCAATCTCATCTTCATTTTGTGTTCATTTTTTTTTTTTAATTTTTTAGAAAAATAAGTAGTGGACATTTTTTTTACTAGTTCCAGAGTATACAACTTGCTAGAGTATTGTTAAATTGGGAGGAAAAAAGTCATTGAAAAATCATACAATTTGTTTTTTAAATTCTTAATTTTATTTGAAAAACAGTTGTTTTAGGTCATTCTTTGTGGTTTGAATTTTCATTCAAAATATTACAATATTGTAGATCAATTTATTTATATCGGACTCATTTTTCCCTTGTGCTATTCCGAACAATTGAAGTGGACTACATAAAACCAAGAACAGATCATTCCTTCTGTGTAACATGATTGAAATATTTTCTTCATAAGTAGATGACCAGGGAATTCCAGGTTTTGTTAGAATTTGAGCTTGTAGTGTTTTCTCTAAGAGAATTGACATTATATTGGAAAATATTTGAAATATTTTTAATGTGATGATTTGTTTGTTAGATTATTTTAACAAGTGTGAACGAAACACGTTTTCATTGTATGAGTGAAAAATATCATATGACCATCCTTCAATATGATAATCAAGGTCACAATCGAATTGATTGAAATATGAATATTCATGCTGTGTTTTTGCTTAAATGTAGGTGTTGTGATTTGATTTTGTATATCACATGTTTCTAAGTACTATTGTGACATTTTTTTCCGTCCATATGCATATCACATGGGCATTTTAGTAAACCCCCCTCCCCTTTTTACGGTTGTCCCATGACATGAAATAAACGTGAGGCAACATAAACTTTTTCCCCGTTAGTCTTGAAAATCCCAGTTTGTTGTATTTTATATTGTGGTTGTGATAAATAGAGAAAAAAAACAACACCCAACATATATAACATTATATTTTAGTGATTTTTTTATAACAAAAAATATTTGTATACGACTTGTTGTTATGGTGTTGGCTTTGCCAATTGTGCAATCTTTCTCCTCTCTCTCTCTCTCTCTCTGCCCCATACACTCACATCAATAAAATTGCACTAGCAAGAAAAAAACATTTGCCATATCTGTTAATATTATGGCTGAATTAAACTCGAGTTATGAGGCTTAGGCACCCTTGTAAAGTTAAATGCTGATGTAACAGTAGTTTATTATTGGGAGGGGAAATTTTATCAGTAGAGTGTCAGTAGAGACAGAACAGAGTGATGTCCCTTTACCGTTGTGTTTCAGGTTATATCACTGTTATTCTTGCACAAACTTGAACTTCCTAATTAACCATTCTGGCCAAAGTTTTCTGATTAAAACGTGTTAGATAAAATCTGTATATTTTCATCAGAAAAAGATTATTGAAGAGAATTTACATTGATAAAATTTCCCAGATTATTTTTACCTGTGTATTGCTTTCTTACCTAGTTGTGATATGTACAGTATTAGTGTGAAATAATTTATTTGTTAATATTTGGGGATAAAGTGCTATAATATTTTTGAAATACGTATTGAGTTAACAGCTAGTAAATATGTTGATTTGAAGCATTTTTAAAAATGTTAACTAATCTTTAAAAATTTAATTTAGCTTTAAATGGCATATTAAGCTAAAAAATACAATCTTTAAAGTCTGCTCTCAATCATTTTAATTTTTATTAAATTGAATGAAAATTTGTGGTTGTTGTAAAAGCAAATATAATATATACACGCATTCTTTGTAAAATGTGTATTAATATTTGAATAGGAATTAAGATTTGGTAAATAAAACATTGAGTGGAATTCTGAGGCATTGCAAAGAGTTATTCCCCTTTCCCAGTGATTTGTTATTTTCTTATTTTTGTTAGCTTTTGCTTTATTGCCTGCCAAATTAAAAAGAAAAACGGGATTCAACCTTTACAGAGTATTATCTGTATTGTATTTAAAATGATAAATTTTGTACCAACTTGATAATTCAGAACTTTTAACTTTAAAGTTTTGTATAATTTGCCAGGAATTAAGTTATGCTGAGTCATTGTACATTGTTAGGCTTGAGTTTGTTATCTTATTTAGTTTTGAAGTACATGTATATAAGCAAAATATCCAAATAATCCATAACAGATGGGAGGATTTTTTTTTTTGTAACTTCAAATTTACAAATTTTTTAATCCAAAAATATTAAGCCGTAAAGATGAAACAATTGCTTTAACAGTGTTTCAGTGAAACTCTTCTTTGGGCAAAATTTAAGTATCATGTATATTTGTGATCTTTTTTATCCCATTGATTATATCCTGAAGCAAATCAGAAACAGGGAAAAGAGTTTTAATTTATTTGTTTATTATTATTTTATTATTTAATGAGTTTAGTTTTCAGTCAAATGAAGTTCAATTTTGCATTTCTCTGTAGAGAATTAAATTTCCTAGGTTGTATCCCCCCACCCTTACACCAGAAGTTGTCTGGTGTATAGTGTCGATCAAGAAAATGTCCGTCCACGTAGCTATTGATTGTACGATTATTATTTGTTTCTATTAGTTGACCATTTATTTATCATTGTCATTATATATTTCACAGTTTGTCGAAATTAAAATGTGCCACATCTATATCCTGTTTTGTTATATATGTGTGACTGGACGATCAAATTTACAAGAAATTATTTATACCAAGGAAAAAATATATTCAGTACAGCCTACTGTAAAATATTGAATTTTTTGAAAATATAATATTGGTTGTAGGTACAATGTTGGTATTTTCCTGCAATAACTTTTAAAAACAATTTTGTAACCTGAAAATAGATTTAGAATTTACACATGCAATGATAACAGAAAAAAGAAAATGTAAGTATGGAATCAGAATATGGGGGAGGGGGCAAAAAGATGTGTCCTGACCGCTCTGTAAAAAATATGTGAACAGCTCAAAAACAATTACATGTATAGAGGGTCATCGTACATAGCTTGCAGATATCAACATTTCATTTTGATGCAAGAAATGGATTTTTATTGCTAGAACTGTTTCAAAAACCCAAATCGAAATTCTAAAGTGAAGAATTTTTCTAATACATGTACATGTGTCAGACATGTCCGTTTAAACACAATAAGATCATTTCTATTCCTATTTAATCCCATACACAATTTTGATCTAATACTGTGGCCCACCATAGCTCAAAGAGGTTATAACTTAACCAAACATTAATTTAACCTACATGTGGATACTTCACTAACACTAATATGAATAATACATGTATTACCATGATGTTACGGGGAAACACTTTTTTTAAACTCAGGCCCATGAAAGAAATTGAATCCAAATAACTTTGAAATGTTCTGCATAAACAAACTGTATTTAAATATTATTTTATTCTGGACCTGCATCTCATAAAAAGAAGTCTAATTTCTTGTATATTTCAATATAAATATTAAAAGCTCTGTTTTAGCTTTTTTCCTACACCCATTCATTCGAATTGGAATCTTCACTGCCTGAGGAACATTGCTTGCGTACATATATGTTGTTATATAACTACTTGTAATCATGTCCCAGGCCAGTGTCTCTTCTGAAAAGATTTTTCCTAAAGGATGACTGCACTTAAGGACTTGCGGAATTTGCGACAAAATAAACTTTCAAAACAAGCATTTTTATTTTCATTGCAAGAATTTTCAACATCCAATCTACAACTTTATGTAATTACGTATAATAAAATTGTGTATTTACGAAGTTCGAATCTGTTTTCAAAGGCAGGGGTCATCACAATTTCTTGAATCTCCGTTCGATAATGAGGACGCCCACTTTTTTTACTGACTTTATACATAGTCAGCGCATGTTTGTCTATTGTTCTACGTTTAACAGTAGTTGTATATTTGCATAAATAATAATGTGTCAAAAGGGATTAATAGACAAACATGCGCTCATGGTTAAAAAGAGAAAAAATTGCTTCTTCTTACATTCGCTCTCTGTGTTGGAACCAAGGATTGTGACATATTGAATTTTATAATTCACGTGGTTTCTTACCTCAGGTAACTTTGTGAATACTAAATTCCGTCACGTGACTTGTAAGGTAGCATGTTTTGTGCTAACTAGGACATTGTGTTCGAACACGTTAAGTCATCTGGTATTGATGTAAAATCTGCTTTAATTACATTGACGTGCTCATATTGTTAATTTCGTTTTGAAACCTTTGTCAGAAGTGTATTTGTACCTTACAAAAAGGAGAGGGAGATTGGAAAGAGTGATCACGTTCGCTTTTCCAAACATGCCATTGTTATTTATCTAGTCTAATTTTAGACCCATTCTTACAATGTTAGCTCCACCTCTCATGCATATCTAATGTTCAATCAAGGGCAGGTAAGTGTAAATTCGCTATGTTTGGAAAGCAGTAAGGACAAAAAACATTTAATCATTTTCTTGTATCACAGTCTAAAATCATTTTAAGATTTAAATTTGGTTCCAAACTGACAGGATTCTTTCATAAACATACAAAAGTGAGATAAGATTTAGATATAAAAGCAACAGAAGCAACCGAAAAAGACCCCAAAACAGGCGTTAAGTGTGGTCATCCTTTTCCTCGGTAAATTCTATAATCTCCTCTTTGGATTTTGATATACAATTAAGATTGTTTGCTTTGATTGATTTAGAAGCTGTTCTTTATAAGTGCCAAATTTGTACCTTTACATGTCTGCAACTAATTCAAACAAATCCATGTAGTGAAGGAACTTATAATTACGTCCTGCTGAACTGTGTGTGTTTGTGTGTGTGTGTGTGTGTGTGTGTGTGTGTGGTATGTATCAGTTCAAACTATAATAATTTAACTCAATGTAGTGACAAGACAAAATCTATTTGAATATTTTAGCGGACGTACTTAAGATACTTTTTTGTAACTTGTATATTACTTATGTTACAGTAAACTGGTTTTTAGTTTATGGCAAGTCAACATTGTGCTATAGTGTTCCAAGAAATTATTGAAATTTTTGTCGTGAAACTTTTTTTTCAAAATATTTTAATACTGAAATATTTATTGTTTGAAATCATTTTTTTTTTCAAATGACAATACTTGCTCCTTTTTTTATTTGCAGGTTTCATAAATAACTTACTGTTTTCTTTGTATACTTCTGATCGATTGTTTATGTTCAAAATGAGTGCTTTTGATAAAAAAGAAAGCCTATTGTAGATGTTTATTATCGAAGAAGAGCAAAACTAGCTAGACCTCTGAAACACTGAGTATTCCATTGTCTACTATTGATTCACATAAGACAAAATATTGAAAAATAGAAAGAAATTCGGCAGAGGGAGGACTAGGAATAAAACACCATTTTCTAAACTTAGTCTGGTTCTTACTGAGCAAATATCCAAGCCTTTTTTGAACTGTGATTGTTAGTTAACTAGACCTACAAACCCTTTTCCTTAACTGAATCCTTCTTCTTTTTTAATATTTTGTACCACACAATACAAAGTAGACGGTGAAATATTCGGTGTTCCAGAAATATCACCAGATTTAACAATCCCTTACTTATACATAATTTAAATATAGTTTTTAGCTCACCTGAGCCGAAGGCTCAAGTGAGCTTTTCTGATCACATTTTGTCCGGCGTCCGTCCGTCTGTCTGTCTGTAAACTTTTCACATTTTCGACTTCTTCTCAAGAACCACTGGACCAATTTCAACCAAACTTGCCACAAAGTATCCTTAGGTGAAGGGAACCAAATTTGTTCAAATGAAGTGCCACACCCTATTTCAAGGGGAGATAATTAGGAATTAGTGAAAAAATAATGGCATCATTTAAAAATCTTCTCAAGAACCACTGGGCCGGGAAATGAAGATAAAACTTATGATGAAACATCCTCAGGTAGTGTAGATTCATGTTTGTTCAAATCATGACCCCCGGGGGTAGGATGAGGCCATAATGGGCGATTAAAGTTTTACGTAGGAATTAGGGATGTCAATTTTGTCAATAATTCATATTCCAATATTCAATGAAAGTATTCGAATATATTCGAATATTCGATAAAGTAAATAAAATCTGGTTTATTTTAAATATGCGTCATCCTACTATAATGAAAGGTTAAGCGTAGGTATACTTTTATTGGAAGTAAAATTGTATGAAGACTTTTGTAGTTGTACAATAAGAAATTCCATTTGATATTTGTCAATGTTTGAAATAAATAATTGTCTTCTATTGATTCGTCTTACCAAAGGCAAGATAGTCGTAACGGTATACTGTTCAGATTTCAGTGAGTATAATAAATTACAATTATCTGCCTAATAAGAGATATGATTACTAGTATAATCAATGATACGATGTTTTTAAAATATAAACAAATATTTCCAAAGACAATTTTCCTAAGTAATTAAGTAATTTCCCGATAAAGAATATAAAATTCAGGATTATGTACAACCTAAGATATAATCATTTATTCTGAAATTGAGCCCTTTACAATATTAATGACAGTCTAATTCTATTGGACATTCATTTGAATGATCAATTAAAATTTATTTTGATAAGTATACATTGTACAATTCTTCAACACCTTACTCAAAACAAAATACTTGAAATTTAGTAAATCTATAAGATAAGAAAGTAGTGAAAGAAATCAGGCGATCGAAATTGATCGCTAGTAAATTAATCAGGGATAATTCCAGCACTATTCTAATCAAAATTTATTAATTACAGTACTTCTTTTTATGAAATCTGAAAAACACCAAATATTCGAATCTTAAATTCATATTCGAATACCAACTCATCGAATGAATATTCGAAAGTTCTAATATTCGTTGCAAACCCTAGTAGGAATACATAGGAAAATTCTTGAAAACTCTTCTACTCAAGAACAGCAAAGCCATGATTAGTCATATTTATATGGAAGCATCCTCAGGTAGTGTAGATTCAAGTTTATTCAAATAATGACCCCCAGGGGTAGGGTGGGGCCAGAACGGGCGATCAAAGTTTAGCAAAGGAATACATAGGAAAATTCTTAAAAACTGTTCTTCTCAAGAAGAGCAAAGCCATGATTGGTCATATTTATATGGAAGCATCCTTAGGTAGTGTAGATTCAAGTTTGTTCAAATCATGACCCCTGGGGGTAGGTTGGAGCCACAATGGGGGATCAAAGTTTTACATAGGGATATGTAGAAAAAAAATTTTCTCAAGAATAGAAAAGTCATGATTAGTCATATTATTATGAAGGCATCCTCAGGTAGTGTAGAATCAAATTTGTTTAAATGAGGGCTCCTGGGGGTAGGGTAGGGCCACAATGGGGGATATAATTTTTACAAATGAATATATAGGAAAAAACCTGCTGCTCAAGAACAGCAAAGCCATTTGTTATATTGATATGGAAGCATCATCAGGTAGTTTAAAAATTAAGCCTCCACCCATGTTAACATTTCAATACTATTTTTGCTTTTTTCCTAGCCAGTGTGCTCAGGTGAGCGATGTGGCCCATGGGCCTCTTTTTTTTCTATAGCAGTAATTTTGAACATCAACAGACAACAAGAACTACATTAAATTAATGGGAGGCTATCCATGAAAACTGAGAGTACGGGGTATTGTCATTAAATAAAATAGTTACATTAAATTATATTGTATGTTATCAATCCAACATTTTAGATAAATGTACACTGTTTCATTAAAAAATTCTCAATAATTTCTTGGAACACTATATGTTGATTTCATTCACATTCGGCAAAATATGTAGTTTAATATAATTTTACATTATACGTGTTTTACGTAAATTTATGTGATTCTAAGCAATTAACAAAAATAAGTGCCTAGTGCGCACCATAATATTGACCTGGTTACTTTAATTTTGACACATCAATATGCCGTGTAAAATAATGATAAAACAATTAAGAATCACTTTTTGTGATAATTGAATATAAAGTAACAAAACTGATGAGTAAATGCATATTTTGATTTGCAGTGTTTATGACAGAATAAGAAATAATCACTGGAGATACTTGTACACAGTCAGTGTGTTGTTTACTTGTCCCACATAAAGATTGTTCTCTTCATCCACACACACACTACAGGGACGATATACCCCTTGTTGTTGTGTGAGTAATAGAGACAAGATTTGACCGTCCTGATCAAGGATGTGAACAGTGTTACTATGAAAGAATCCATCACACACCAGGATGTGACCGAGGACATCAGTGCAGATTCCGTAGGGAAGGAACTCTGACTCCTGACCTGTGTAGGAGAACCTGTGTTGTCCTGATTTATTCACCACCACTACTGCTCTTATATCAAAGTCTGATGTACAGATATCTCCATTGATGTTTTCTGTGATGTAATGTGGTAGGTTATACAATTTCTGTCCTTTGTTATCCCTCTGTATGTTCTGTAGTTCTTTTCCTGTCTTATTGTACCTGGTGATTTTACTTTTCTCTTTTTTCTTCCCCTTTTTAAACAGTCCTTTAGCCTCTCTAACCCTCACCATCCCCACCAGTATGTCCCCATTAATGTGGGAGGAGTGTATGCTGAGTGGTTCCCAGTCTTCAGTTTTAATGAATTCAGTGATATTATTATCCTGTGTTATCCTATAGATGATTTTCGTGTCTTGGTCAGTAAATATGAGATCCCCATCTTGTGTGACTGTGTGATAACCTTCATCCCCACCACTGGTTTCTATCTTCTGTATCTCGTTCCCCTGTAGATCTGTTTGGACAAGATTACCATTACTGTCACTGATCCATAGTCTGTCTGATTGATCTAGTGATATATGGTATACATCATCAACACCTGGTACATTGAACTCCCTGACCTTGGTGACAGAGGCAGATAGAGATATTGTTTGTTTCTTGTCAGATTTCTCTCTGTCTTCTTCCTTCTGTTCTTGAGTCGATTTCATTGTTGTATTGTGGACATTTTCAAAGGGCCTTATTTCTCTCTTTTCTGCCTTAGTGTTGGGGACATGTATTTCACCAAGTAATTTGGTAACATCAAATTTGCTGTATTGACCAGCAGTAAATCCTGGTGTGACTGGTTTTATTATCTCTGGTATGGATTGGATCTTTGGCTTCTTCTCAGACATTAATTTCTGGGGTTCTGTAGAGGACAGGCATCCGTGGAGCTCTTTGACAAGGTTATTAAGATAAGTGATGTAATCATCCAATGTCTTGTCTTGGGTGTTTAGATCATCCAACAGTGAATGCTCTATCTGGTCTAGCTGCTTCATATTCTCAGATACGACTGTGTCTACCAGACTTTTCAGGGACTCGCCTTCAGTCTTCATGGATGTTCTGATGTTGTCCATAATGTGTCTGATATCTGAGGAGTCTTTTTTGATTTCTCTTTGTAAATCTTGTGATGTGGGGAGAAAGTATTCATGGATTTTTCTAATTTCTTCTTGAAAGACTGCACATTTTTCTGCATAAATAGTTTCAAGATCAGTAAATATATGCCCCCGATGGTCTCCCTGTGTGGCACATTTGGAACATACTGAAACTTGGCATTCTTCACAGAGCATGTCGATATCTTTATTGGGGTGGATCTTGCATTTCTCCACAGGAAATTGTCTTTTACGTTGCTGGTAAAGGACCACCTCATGGTCCTTATTTACTGGACTTTTCAGATGTTCTTCGCTGCATTGTTTGCACAATCTTTGATGACAAACGTTGCAATAGAACTCAAAGTTTCTTTCACATTCTTCAATGTCACATTCTAAAAAGTGTTGGGCATTGTGGGGTTTATCCATTTTAGATAATGCCATCTGAAAATGGATACATTATTGTATATATAAACATAAATCCAAGCATGACATAAACTTATAACTGCTTCATAATTCATAAAAATGGGCCCAGTAACGGTTTTTTATATATATACTTACAGCATTTAGGAATTGTATATTTATAGATGAACTTTGGAATGGAAGAATGCGCACTCGGATTACCTCGGCCGATTCCATCTAAGTAAGATGTAGGGTACCGAAGCCGAGGTTTGCCGAATGAAGAGTGCGATAGCAGTAATTTACTTCCTGGTTGGAGATAAATATAGATACAAAGGACCCGGACTACTATTAGTTTGTAGCTTTTTTCTTCCAAAATATTTTTTGGCGGAATGTCAGTAAAAATATAACCATGTCAGAAAAGTAAATTAAAAGCATGTTTTCCTTTCCACAACTGAAAGTACATAATATTTTTATCTTAAAAATTATCAGTTTAAAGCTTTAAAAAAATGTGTTTCCGAAAAATTAAAAGTCCATGAATACGGTACAGCAAAGAACGAATGTGATCGTCGCAATGCTACGTATGAATGACATACATGTAATATGTCTGCTTCAGCTAAAGATTTCAAATTATGCGTGACTTTCAAATTATATGTTTGATTTTTTATTGGATTTTCAAACCATGCACTACAAATTGTCTGTTAAAATCGATGATACCAGTTATATTTGATATATATATATTAGGGATGGCAATTTCTAATCGGTTAACCAGTTACTCGGTCGGAACGATGGTAATCGGTTAGGAAATCTGTAATCGGTTAGTCGGAAAGAAATAAAATTTGTGTCAATTTGAACACAGTTTCCAAAAAATTCAATAAAAACACCACAATATATCTGAGACTTTAGTTTTTTCACCTGTCTATTTAAGCTGATTGGGAGATAATTAATAATTAAGCCTCTCCGGATTGACATCGCAGGGATAATTGATCAGTTTTCGAGATGTTAATTGCTACATAAACACATGTCATTACCCAGTCTGTCCCGTGTTTCTTTAATGATTTTAATTAAATGATCGTTGAGTATTTTGAACTGATTTAAATGTGTTTTACCTCTTCTTTCCTATGAAATTACCAATCTAATTATTTTATAAAACAAACATTGTAAATTAGTTCAAACTTAATAGTTAATTTTGAGTATTAAGACAATGCAGAATGAGCTCACAAGACATCTCTTCTTATTTTAATGAATCTGAGACTTCAAGCATGTTGCATGAGTATTTTAAAACCACCTATGACGTATTTTTTGTTTTTCCTATTAAAATTGAAATAAAATATAAATAGTGTACTGATCAAATATAAACAGAATATTTCTACATGTAACATCTTTAGAGCTTTGTTTATTTGAATATAGAGCTTACAAGGATGAAATATGTCGAGAATTTTCGATACGATTAACCGATTAATCGGTCGGAACGTCTTGCGGTTAACCGATTGGCAATTATGTATTCGATTGCCATCCATAATATATATATATATATATATATATATATATATATATATATATATATATATATATATATATATATATATATATATATATATATATATATATATATATATATATATATATATATATATATATATATATATATATATATATTAATTGAATTCAAAAATTGAAATAATTCAAGCCCATTGTACACTGACTATAGATTCATCTAGGTGCGCCAGTTTATATTAGTTTATTAGTTTCTTTTTGGTTCTTATTCAGCATCATAGAGATCACAGTAACATAATATAACATTGACATAGATGCATGCGCAGACTATATAACATAAATATATATAAATTGTGTTTACTACTTTAAATTTAGATATGAATAACCATGAGGTTTGACTCTCTCGTTTACAACGTTAATAAAAAGAAAAAAAAAACCCAGTAAGCCTACGTTTTTTTAGAAGAGACACAATTCATTAAACTTGATTATATTTGGTCTAAACATATAATTTATAATTTGAGAATATACAATTTTCTTATTTTCTTTCATCTTTTAACTTTTTACAACATAAAATATTTTGAAATTCGTCACCTATATCTTTTTTTTCTTTCAGTACCTTCCCATCTTACTGTTTCAATTGGTAGTTTATGATTTGAAGTTCTGAATCTAGCTAGAATTTGTTTCTTATGATTACTTAAAATACAATCTACATAAAATTGACGTCCAAAATTAAAATTCGTGAATAGATTATATGGCATGCTTTAGAAAAATTATTGCAATTTTATTCCCAATTTTGTTGAAAGTGATCTAACTAATAATATTTGTTTTTAACTTTCAATTACTATTGAGTAATTGTTTCTGATTATATATAATATTATAATATCCACATTCGTCTACAATTGATTTCAGATTCTTCAACCATTTAGGTTTATTACTATTGTCAAATTTATTGCATAGTAATTTATACATTATACAGCAATATTTTGATTGTTTTCCATATAATTGTTTTTAACAATATGCAATAATTCTTGTTTTGATATGTACAATTAAAGGTACTCTCCCCAATTCACCATAAATCATAAAATTTGGAGAACTTGGTTTTAGTTTACAGAATTTAAGATGTACTCTCCTTATAATTTCAACATTACCATAACCCCATACCCCACAGTCATATAACAGAATTAGAACACTAACGTATCAAACAAATACAATTGATCATCAAGAGAAATGTGTAATTGGTTACTTTTTTCAAAAATACCATACATAGCTTAAATCGCTCGTTTTACAGCACACCAGTCTGTTTTGTCTTAATAAATGAATCAGGTTTTTTTAAGGTTACATTGGTTACATCTATATTCCTTTGGTGGCAGTCAGTTACAATGATAACAGATTATCAGAAACCCAAGGGGCCTTTTGTTTAAGTTACACTGGTTGCATCTATATTTCGTTGGTTCATCTCAAACCTTGGTAGATGCAGATGTAACCACTGTAACCAATGTAACCACTGTAACCACTGTAACCATTGTAACCACTGTAACCGATTTAATGAAAAATGTTGTTCAACAGAGTTGTTTAACGTCCCCTTCGAGAATTTTTCACTCATAAAGAGACTTCACTATATACAGTCAAACCTGTATTAAGCAATCACATACGGGAACCATTAAAAGTGACCTTTATAGAGAGGTGACCTTTGAAAAGAGGTTCTTCTTTTCTCAAGAAAACTTCTTTTCCAATGAATGTAAGTTCTGTGTTTTAAAATACTACATCATGGAATATTAAAGAAAGATGTGTTTTGGAAATCAATGATGGTCTCAGTTAGATTTTCTTTTTGAATTTAAATAGTCTCAAGATTAAGTTCAAGCTAAATTTGATGACTCCAACAAAAAATATATTGAGTCTAATAGGGCATTGCATTATCCTCCCTCCAAACAACAACAAAACTTTCTTTTATTATAAGATTACATTATCATGTTGTGCCATGAATAAACTGCCTCTAAAAAACAAGTCTAGTTAGTCCTGATAATTGTATGTTTAATAATTCATAAATAGTAGCGTAATAAACAGACAAGTCAAAATATTCTCAGTTTATCAAAGTAGTGCATAATACAAATTGATATCAAATTCACAGGTGTTGTGAGAAATGAAGCTTGACTAATCCTAACGGTCGTCTTACCTAGTCTAAAATCACGAGATAATCAGGACACATTGAGTATACAAAACAGTTAATTAGCGTTTCTACAAATAAACCAGATTCCAATTCAATAAGATTAAGATTTTCGGAAGTCCGTTTTCCTGATAACCTTTTCGGTCACTAGCACCCTTGTTTATTTTTGTTAAAAAAATAAATAAATTATCCAATATTTCAAATGGTTTTTAATAAGGCCAATTATTTTAGTGACAAAAGTGACATTAGTGACAAAAACTGGGAGTCACCTGACTTTAGATCTGGTCTCGTGATCGGACAAAATGACCACTATGTACAAGTGAAAACGGCGATATTACATGAAATTTGATGACCGCTGACCGCGTTACGCAGGTGACCGCTTAATAGAGGTACATCATATAGGAAAATTCATTGGGAGGAAATAAAATGACCGCATAGGACAGGTGACCGCTGGATAAAGGTGACCGCTATGACAAGTTTGAATGTACTTGTGAAGGGCTTCAAATTTAGAATTATACTCGGCACTCAGGGCCATTGAGCTGTGAGGGTTCTTTATCGTGCCAACGCCTGCTGTGACACGGGACCTTGGTTTTTAAGGTCTCATCCGAAAGACGCGTGACTTTCACCTCTAGTGCCGGGCGCAAGGCGAAGGAACAGTCACAACCTATGTTTACGTGTTAGGTTTGACGCGGCGCGGGAAATAAATATACATGTAGAAATTTTCAATCAGTTATTGAATACTTTAAGTTGGAGGAAGGGAGGATTTTGATTATTGTATGATTCACTTGTCATAATATATTCTAGATACTGATTGTTGGTCTTAAGTTGAGTCTTGTGTAACTTATTTAATATGACTATTTCTGACTCATTTTTATTGGAAACAAATGTCTTAGGTTTTAAAGGACCCAGAAAAATGACCATTATTATTCCAAGGATGAATTTGGATCATGAACGAGTAGACATCAAGCGAAGATCTGTAAGTCTCGAGAAAAAAAATCCGCTGAACTAGTTCCCTTAATCTGTTTAAAGAGAAAAAGAGTTGAGTCCATCCCCTTTGTTGGAGTAATTAGTCCTCTACAGGTGAAACCCGACTATAGGTTTTGTCCTGATCTGTTTGTCTGTCTGTTTCTTTGTCTGTCAGTCAATTCCTCTTGGTTTTCAACACTTATTTTCTAAATGCTTGCAGATATTGAGCTGAATTTTGGTATGTAAGTGTACCTTAATGACTTACAAATCAAAGTTGCATTTCATTGTGCTTCAATGATTTGATTATGTGGTATATTACAAATGAGATTCAGATTAGGATAAATATTGAATTGTGTTTTGCAGGATAATGATGGCTTGATTGACAGATACAAGAGAAAAAATATCGCAGGTAGGTTAA